TCTATGGGACCAAAGAGGGAGGGCTTCATGAAGGAGGTGTCAGCTGAGGGGCCCTTTGAGTTGGGGTAAAAAGGCTGCTGGGCCTCACACACAGAAGACCCTCTGCCAACGAAGGTCAGTGACCTTGACCAGCTGAGTGGTGTGGGTGGGTGAGCCCTCTCAGAAAGGACATCTTTGCCTGATCCCTCTTTTAAAAAAAAAATGGGACCACTTGGAAGCTAAGCAGAAAAAAGTCAGGCTCAGGGCTCTGAGTCATGCGCCACCGTCTGTCTGGAATGTCTCCTGGCCCTGCAGAGCCCTGCAGCTATTCACTCAACACTCAGCCCGCCCTAACTGGGCCTGACCAGTGCAGCTTCCCACATCATGAGGTCAGGGTGGTTTGACCACAGACCCTCCTTTCTGTGTCCCTCCCCATCCCTCCTTTCTGTGTCCCTCCCCATCCCTCCTTTCTGTGTCCCCTCCCCATCCCTCCTTTCTGTGTCCCCTCCCCATCCCTCCTTTCTGTGTCCCCTCCCCATCCCTCCTTTCTGTGTCCCCTCCCCATCCCTCCCTCCCCATCCCTCCCTCCCTCCCTCTTCCCTTCCCTTCAACCTTTCCACTACTGTCCTCTCCTTCCTCTCTTCCCATCATTCCCTCTGCCCCCCCACATCCTCTTTTTCTCCTCCCTCCCCTCTCTCTGCTCCCACTCGAGGTACAACAGGGCCCCTTATAATGTGCAGAGTTGAGAGATGAGCTGAGAACAGCACTGTGGTCTATTCATTCCTATTTGATTTCCTTCCTCTACCTCAGAGCCTGTATTTTGTTTTCTGATGCCAGGGGAAAACTTGGCCCCAGTTCTGACCAGACACTCAGGAGCAGGGTAACCTTGGGGATCTCAGAAAACTGTTACCAGGTCCCGTACCCAACATCTTTAAGAGGCCCACACGTTCCTCCTGCCTTGGACAGCAGTTGCTAGGTGCTTGACCCCAGGGCCGTGCCTGTGGCAGGCATGTGAGGACAAAGGCACCGAGGCCCTGTGCTCGGCCCTCCTGACCAGGGGATGTTGAGATGGCTGCCAACCACAGCAAGTGGAAACTCAGAGAGGTTGCTCACTTACCCAAGGACACAGAGCTGGCAGGAAGCATGGGAGAGGGTGGAGCCAGGACATCTAGTGAACTCCTTGGATGGTAACAGACCTGAACTTCTGAACTGACCAGTGGGATCCACAGATCCTGGCTGTGCTCCTAGTGGAACACATGGCTCCATTTCCCACCAGCCCCACAGATGCTCCACTCTGCACTGGCCTGATGGCGGCTCCTGGAGAGGTCTCTAGAGTTGTCAGAGCATCCTGATGAGGAACGGGCACAGGACCCCCTGGTGGGAACACCACCATCCCTTTGGCTTCTCATGAGGTGCTTTTTACAGGAGGTGCTGAGTTGGTCAGGGAAGGGGAGCCCAGGTTGTTCCCACTCTACCAAAGCCTCAGTGAGGAGGCAAGCTGAGCGAAGTAGTGTGATGGTTGTGCCGGGTGTGCTCCACCAACCGCCCATGCCTCTGTCTGGGTGAGCTTCTCTGGCCTTCCAGCCTCAGTTTCTCCACTGTAGCAAATGACTTTGAAAGTACCCAAAGGTATCCAAGCAGCATACACTTGCTCAGGCCTCTGATTGAGGCTGGTCTATGGGGTGGAGCATCACCCTCTCATCACTTACTCGGGTAAGTGTCCTGATGCCCCAGATGTGTCTGGTGTAGGCATCTGGAGCAGGGTCAAAGTGTGTGTGTGTGTGTGTGTGTGTGTGTGTGTGTGTGTGTATGACTTGCAACCACAGGCTGAGGTAGCTGGGGTCAAGCTTGCTGGAGTGTGACAATGTGGTCCTGGAATCTGCCATAGGCTTCTGCCCCTCCTACCCTCCTCTGGTGCTGGTGGTGTGGTTTGTTTCTGCTTCAGGCAGAAGTTAAGGCAATGACTCAGGAGCGCTGCTGGCTCCCTGACTGTCCCAGAGCCAGGAAGCCTCTGCCAAAGGGTGGCCAGCACCAGCCTTGAGTGCTAGGTTGAGATGGGCTTGGTCAAGAGACCTGAACTCCAGCAAAGTGACTGGAAGAATCAAGTTAGCCACTATCGCTGGGCCATAATTGCCCTGGAGAGCGGAAGTTCAGGGCTCTCAGCTCTTCCCAGTTGATGCTGTGGTGAAAGGTGGGAGCAGAGAGTCCCATGATCCCCAGGAACCTCTTTTTCTCCCAACACCACCACAACCCACCCCCCAGCAGCTCCTCCCAGGGTAAACAGGTCACACTGTCAGGAACTCTGGCCCATGTTCAGGACTGAGGAGGAAGTAAGCCCAAGGCATCCATGAGGACCCTGTCACCCAGAAAAGCCACATAACAGTATTGTGCTCACACGACTGATGTCTATAGTGGGAGGAGACCTTGCCCCAGCCATCCCAAGCACACTGAGGCTTCACAGCATCACATTGGTCCCACTTGTGTCAGACTTAACATCACTGGTCAGTCACAGGCAGATGTGGAAAAGGGTATGGGCTACCTCCAAACAGGCCTGAACGCAGCACAGGAGCCTGGAAAAGGGTCAGAAGCTCACAGAACAGAGGAGGCCAACCATGCTTGTGGCCTCCTGAGCAGCAGAGTAGGGTTGTAGGCCTCATACCTGCCTGGCCCCAGAAAGCACAGGGTCCATTCACTGTTAAGGCTATGGCAACAGGTTTGGACACCGATGACTATGTCTATTGTGTCTGTAGCTTGGGCAGTGTCCAGAGGCACACAGCTAGAGAAACACATACATACACTACATGCATGCACACATATACATATACATGCATGAATACATGTACACATATGCACACACATATATGTGTACACATATACATGCATATATATGCACAGATACATGTGCACACACAAGCACACTGGTGTATTTTGAAATCCTGACCTTTCTTAAAGTCCAAAAAGACACCAAAAGGAAAAGAAGGTAATATCCAAAGTCTCTGGGGTGGGGACTCCAGCAGTAGCAGCTAGGAAGTTCTGTTGCTGAGGCACCCCTGCACTCACAGTTGCTCAGACCCTTTCCGGGTGTTTTCTGAGGAGCAGGGGATCCTGGGTCCTCAGACCCAGAATGATGCTGCAGAAATGTGATCGGAGCCCCAGGCCTGGGGTACAGGGCAGTGTGGGAGCCCCAGGCCTGGGGTACAGGGCAGTGTGGGAGCCCCAGGCCTGGGGTACAGGGCAGTGTGGGAGTCCCAGGCCTGGGGTACAGGGCAGTGTGGGAGCCCCAGGCCTGGGGTACAGGGCAGTGTGGGAGCCCCAGGCCTGGGGTACAGGGCAGTGTGGGAGCCCCAGGCCTGGGGTACAGGGCAGTGTGGGGAGCCCCAGGCCTGGGGTACAGGGCAGTGTGGGAGCCCCAGGCCTGGGGTACAGGGTAGTGTGGGAGCCCCAGGCCTGGGGTACAGGGCAGTGTGGGAGCCCCAGGCCTGGGGTACAGGGCAGTGTGGGGAGCCCAAGGCCTGGGGTACAGGGCAGTGTGGGAGCCCCAGGCCTGGGGTACAGGGCAGTGTGGGAGCCTCTCAGCCCCAGTTCAGGTTCCATTCACATTTGCAGCCAGTTTTGGCTCTCTGTCAGGTGCCGTGCCGAAAAGTCCCAGGAAGATCGACTTTGCTCTGCAGCTCACTAGAGCTCATAGCATATCACAGGTGAGTTAGTTGTTCAGTACAGGCCTTGGGACCTGCCCAAGGCCAGGAGTTTCCCAGGAAGCAGCCTGGAAGCCTGTGCAGAGCCTTGCTTTGCATGATAAAGGTGCTCCCAGGAGGCGTGAAACCGGAACTTCTGAGTGGCAGCTAGACCCACTGTGTGGGTGGGGGTGGGGCTGTTGGAGGGCCTCCTCTAACAGGGTCTCTTTCTGTGAAGAGCCTTCAGCTGGTCATTTACCATTTAGAAGCCCACAAATCCACCGCCAGCGACCTGGATCATCTAAAGTGGGGAGTGACCTCAATGGTTCTGTCTCTCTCTGCACCTTGTTTGTGAGCTCACATCTTGTATGTGTGTGCTTGCCTATGGAAACCAGAGATGGGCCTCACGTGGCATTTGTCAAATGCTGTCCACTTTGTTTTGGGAGATAGCATTTCTTGTTGTCCTGGAGCTCACCAATTAAACTAGGCTGCCTGACCAGCAAACCCCACGGTTCTGCCTGGCTCTGCTTCCCCTGCACTGGAATTACAAACACGCATCACACCTTGCTGAGGCATCGAACTTTCGTCCTCATGCTGAGCTCAACATCTTAACATAACGTCTTCCAGCTTTGTGGCCTCTGTCAGGCCCCTGATCTGTGACGCTTAGGTTCATGTGTTAGATGTCAGATGGTCTTAAAGGGACCCCTCCCTCTCTAGGGACCTAAATGGTTCCTTCCCTCCCCGCTGTTTCAAAGTGCCCAGCCCAAGGCTGGATGAGGGCCCAGCAGGAAGCCACCAGGATTGGGGACTGCAAGCTCCATTTTCATGACTAGAGCCCCGGACATCTACTCCAGCAGCGCCGCCGTGGAGTGCCAGACTTGGGGGTGGGGGGATCGGAGGTTGCTCAAGCTGAAGTTTCCCTTAAACAGGTGTCAGTTGTGACCCTACCTCCTGACCTTTCCAGCCAGAAGCCAGAGGAGGAGGTTTAGTTGCTTTTGGTGGCCCAGGAACTGGGACGACAGAGGGACAGATAAAGCTGCCACTGGAAGCCACACGGTGGAATGGTGGCAGCTGTTGCCAAAGTTGCGCCGCCGAAGCCAGGCTTTCCTCCCAGCGTCGTGCCAGCTGTAGAACTGGCCAAGGAGAGTGGAGGGGGTTTGGTGGCCGGAGAGTTTCCCACCAGGCCGGCGTGGCTAGGTGGATCCCATGAAACCAACACCTAGGAAAAGCCGCGCTAAAAATAGCCGGGGCGGGGCGGGGGGCAAGCGTGTAACCCAAGCCGGGGCGCTGCTGTCGGGCTACGCGTCCGGCCTCCGCGCGAGCGCTGCCCGCGGACCGGCCCGGGAGGCGGCCCTCTCCTCGCACCCCGCCCCAGGCGCAGCGCGGCGGCTCGGTGCCCGGCGGGCGGGCGGGCGACCGGGGCGCTGCGGGCGGAGATGAGCGCTAGGGCTGCGCGGGCCGGGCGCGGGCGCCCCGCGCGTCCCGGGAGCTGGAGCTGCGTGTGGCCCTGGCGGAGGTGAGTCCGCGGCGCTGGAGTTGCGGGGACGGGCGCGGTCACCGCGCTGCGCTGAAGGCGCACGGCCGGCCTCGGGTCCCCACTCGCAGTGAGACTGCTTGCGCCGAGCACCGAACACGGGGCGGCCTGACTGGGGCCCTGGGAGAGCGGTTGACAATGTCGCCGGCGCGTTGCGAAGCGCAGAGCCAGAGTCGCCAGCGCCCTGGAGGGTCGGAGCCACGGGGCTATGGGAGGTGATGCGGTGGCTCATTCATTGCACCCTGGAGCCGTTCATCGGCGACCCCACCGCCGCCAGCTCGGGACATCCTAAGGTCCGATGCCGCGGGCGGGATGGGGTCCTGTTAGGGGACTGGAGGGTCGCCACGCTGTTGCTTCCGCCTGGAGGCCCATCGCGCCCCCACCCACCCTTTACTTTGGGGCAGCTCCGCTAGTGAAGTCCACAGAGTTAAGCTAAGCCGACCGCGGGGACACTGCGCCCCTCGTGGCGATGGCGGGAAGGGGAGGGTATCGGGATTCATCCCGACTTCAGTGGCCGCTCAGACCCTGTCCTGTACCCCGGATCCCGGCCGGGGTGGAGACAGAGATGCACACGGGAGACGGTGGAAACGGGGCAGCTGGGCTGCGGAGTGGGACTCGGGCTCCAGCTGAGGCAATTGGCTGCTTCCCTGCCCGCTGGACTGACCGGACTGTATGGGGACTATGCCACGTGTTACTACTGCATTTAATCTTCAGTCATGAGATGGGTGGGACCCCATGCTCTAGATGAAGAAAGTGAGGGCCGGAGTGGCCCGTGTCGCACAGCTGGAACGCAGCAGCGGTGCTGACAGTGCCTACCCACACTGCCAGTTGACTCTGGTTCAGTTCTGCCTGTTAGAGGGACAAAGGTGTGTTGAGGCCTCTGCTTCCTGCACTGTTCCAACTGTCTTGGCTCAGCCAACACCCAAGTCCGGAAAATAACAAGACAAGCAAGTAAAATGCCTGGACGTATTGACAGGGATAGTTGGGGAGAGCAGGAGCTGGGCAAGAGTTCCTTTAAGATGCCAGCCTTCTTCTGCCAGGAGCTTGGCCTGACAGGTCCCAGACTACTGTACAGAGCCAACAGAGTGTGTCTTCCGAATTGTGAATGGGAGAAGAACAGCCCAGGGTCATTGTGAGGTGGGGCCCGGGTGAGAGCCAGTGAGTGGACTCCCAGCTGGCAGTGTCCCAGGGCCTTATGCAGGTCAGCAAGTCCCAGGACTTCAAAGCCAAAGAGGACTCTAGGGTCATGAACTTACAGACCTCATCAGTGCTCTAGTCTCCTCCAGACCTCACCCTCCAGGTCATTGGCCTGCAGTGATGGAATCTCACTCCTCATTGCAGTGTGGGTCCGCCGGCCTGCCACTGGTTGGGGATCTGTTTAAGTTTGGTCCAGAGCTCCTAGCTGTCAATCATCTGGAGTGACAGGCAGCACATTAAGCTAATTCACAGGGCTGCCCTTGGAGAAAGAAGTTAATAGTATGTCACTTCCTACCAAGTCTTTGGAATGTGTAACTTTCCTGACTTGGCACTGCAGGCCAGGAAGCATCCTGCCACCTGCCCTCAGGAGACATGCCCTCGGTCTCTGCATGCCCCTCACCCTTGCTAAATACCAGGGTGGCCTGGAAGCAGAGGCCAAGTCACACACTTACTGACACTCATCTGCAGCCTGTGCTTCCGAGCCCTCCCACACCCCTTGAGAATTTCATTTCTGTGTCTGCTTCCTCCTTTAGAGCTGTAACCGAGTGTGGGGGCGGGGGAGGGGCATATCTTCAGAAGAGTGCCCAGGATGGGAACATTAGTGACAGGTTGTGTGGCCTTGGGCAAGTCACCAAACCTCTCTGGGCCTGGATAGAAGGATGATGGGAAAGACCAGTGAGGGTGTAAGGTTCCAGCTGATGGTCTACATGGAGGCCAGTAGCCAGGGACACACAACAGTATCGGCGTCTTCTCTTCATCACCGGCCTTCCATCTGCCCACCTTCACCTCGTTTCCTCCAGAACTCCTGGGTGAAAGAGAATGGTGACAGTGAGCTCGCCCTCAGTGCAGACCCCACCCCCCACATCTGCCATGGGGTCCAACCTCAGGGCATTCATTTCCCTTCCTACCTGGGTCAACTCCCATTCTGTCCTTGTCCGCACTGACCATCACCAGAGCAGGTGAAGTGGTGTCCCCTCCCCCAAAGGAACAACACTCCCAACGTGGTCCAGCTCATTTCCAAATAATGTTCTGCTCCCTCTGACTATGACCAACACCCCCAGCCCCATTCTTTGTGGAGCTGACCCAGCATACTCTGACCCAAGCATAGCAGGAAGGGGATACCAAGTGGGATCTGGGCTTTGTGTTGAGGTGAGGTTTCTTTGGCCTCCCGCTTTCTGTTTATGCTTGTCATTCATTCACCCTGGGGCTGGGGCTGGGGCAGTAGAAGCTGTCTAGTGTAATCCTCCAGTCCCATCATGAAGTCTGCCAACAGTCTACCACCTTCAATGGCAGAAAGGTAAAAGTACAACTGCGTGGTTGTTCACTGCACTAGGATGCTTTGGTCACCAAGACTCTACACACCCCAGACTGTTTCCTCCCAGAGGAGTATTTCATCTTATATGTCCAATCCCCACGTTGGCCCAGGGATGTCTGTGCTGTATGTGAGGGGCTGTGTTTGCTTCCAAGGACTGCACTCAGCCTAGTCGATTGTGCATATTGGGAAATGACATCCCTTCCCAGAGACCCAAAGAGTCAAGGCAGCCATCATTTCCGCCTTGGGATTCCTTCCTTGGGTGTTGTCTTTAGTGTACATCTCTTTCCCCATGGTGTGGGGAAGGGTGAGAGGCAGGCAGTGAGGCTCCCCACACCCAGCCAGAGGTGCTGCAGACCTGGACTGGCTGTGGTCAGCAAGGAGTTCCTGCTCCAGATGCTCTTCAGAGCTGATCTCTGCCCGTCTCTGCTGCTGCTGCAGAAGCTTGTACTGAGTCCAAACTGGAGCAAGTGTGCCTGGCAGAGTGGAGCTGGGGGCTGTGACTTGTCTTTAAACCTTATGCTTCCATGTCCAGCCTGGCAGGATTGAAGTGGTCTCTGGGAATTACACTGTTGTTTAAATGGAGCCTGCTCTAGGGAGGCAACGCCCAAGCTAAGCTCTCTTATGAGCATGGAGAGGCTACAGGGAGGCTTGTCTACAGACATTGGCCATGCACCCAACACCCAGCCATTCTAAACCTCCCCATCACCCTCCATTTAAAGGAAAAGGGGTCTGTCTGCTGGGACTGGGAACACAGTTCTCCTCTTTTCCTCTAGGTGACTCTCACCTCCACCCCACCCTGCTCAGTCCTGTTTCTTCCAGATCAGAGGAGCAAGCCCCATGGGTGAGAAGAATTTGAGCTTGGGGGCCTCCAAGCTCCAGGCCTAGTTTCATTTCTCCTGGCCCTTGCAGTATGCAAGACCAGGACAGCTTGGAGCCATGGACTCCATAAAAGTGGCCAGGAATGGGAGGCCACTCTGCCTACCCCCTCCCTGACCTAGGACGCTACCTTACTGAACAGACTGTTTAACTGACTGTGAGAGACCAAAGGCAGGTAAGAGCTATGGTAAATGGCCTCACATGTGAGTGGCTGGAGATGATGCCCAGGAGACAGGCTGAGGAAGCTCCCCCATCCCAGCCCCTCCTGCTGGTGCCAGTGCCAATGGCAGAATGGGGGACATTCCGTCCCCTGGCTGCCTCTCACAGTGTCTGTCCTGTCTTTGGCTGCTCCAGGGCTGGCATCTCAGCCAGCCACCTAACAGAGTCAACATTCATGAGCAGCAGTCAAGGCCCCAACCAGCTGGGGCACTGCAGCCCCTGCAAAATGTGACCGTTAGGAGCGCCCCTGAGCGGCATTTTCCACATTCCTCGGGGGCCACTGGGCCAATTGGCCTTGTGTAAACAGGCTGCTCTGCAGGACCTGGATGTGGCCACTGAGCACCACAGGAGCAGGAGCTTGGAGTGCTGAGACTGTGGCTGTCCAGGCCAGGAGCCAGGCTGCTGGTCTGGTCCTGGAAGAAACAGCCCTTTTGTCAGAGGGTAGGGTGCAAGCTGTGATGGGTACCATCACTGTCCAGGGCAGCCTACAAAGCAGGGTTTTTACCCCCTCACTTAACACACAGAGTGTAAAGTTCTGTGGACTTTAGTATGCTCACAGAGCTGTGCAATCACGATCTAGTTCTAGAACATTCTATCCCCTCCCCCAACTCCTCCCGGCCTCCAGCAATTGCTAATCTCTCTAACTCTATGGATTTGCTTATTCTGGACATTTCATGTACGTACACTCGTACTCTGCGGCTTTCTGTGTCTGGCTTCCCTCATTGAATGTCATGTGTTCATGGAGAGCTGGAGAGGCTCCCTCGGAGCTTCTGCCTGGGTCCGGCTGGACAGTGTCTTGCTTTGGGTAGCATGTGCCTGTCACTGCAGTAAATAAATGCATGGTCATTGTGCATCCTATTGCTATGGACATTTGTGTTCAGATGTTTGTGTAGGCGTATGTTTTCATTTCTCTTGAGTCGTCCCTAGTGAAGGTACTGGGCCCATGGTTGCTCATGAAGAGCCACCAAACTTTGTTTCCCAGCATGCCTGTGCCTGGTCACATCCCCACGAGTCAGTGAACAGTAGGAACCATTTACTCCTTTCTAAGGATGAGGGCCATGGACTCTAGTGAATAATGCATTGTTCAGGGTTGGATTCCCAGTCAGCTCCAGATGGAGACATTAAGGCACTCAGAGAACTCTGAGCCATATCTAAGAGACAGTTCTGTCCTGTAAGAGGCTCTACCCTGTCCCTCCTAAGAGGCTGGAGCCTCCACTTTCTCATGAGACCCCAAGCTACCCAGGAGCCTGGGCCTTGAGGAGGGATACTAGAACATGATCAGAAACCACATCCTGTCAATCCTTCTTGCAGCCTCCTTCAAGGGACCTGACAGCTGACGAGGGTCACTGTGTGTCACAGACAGCGGCTATCAGAC